AAATGCCTCTGAATCTCATGCTCCTCACAGAACTTCTGAAACTACGAATCTGTGTACTCTGTGTCATTATCAGACTTCAACTGCCAGTTTGGTTCTCCAGTTTGGTTCTCCACCTTAGCTTTCCATAGCTTGAATTTAGAGAAGACTTTAGATTTTTGTTTCAAGAAGTACACCCAAACTTTCCTGGAGAAATCATCAATAAAGGTAACGAAATACTGAGATCCTCCCAATGACAACTCCCTAGTAGGGCCCCATACATCAAAATGCACATAATCAAGAATTCCTTCAGTTTTGTGTTTTCTAGTCATAAAACTGACTCTAGTCTGTTTTCCAAGAACACAGAACTTACAAAGGTCGAGCTTGCAGCTTTTAACACAATTTCTTCTACGCAATTTTGTCATCCCACGTTCACTGAGATGACCCAGACGCATATGCCATAGCTTTGTGTTGTCATTATCTGACTCAACAGAATGAACTCCACCTACAACTGTACTCCCTAACAGTCTGTAGATATTACCTGCAGTCAACTTTCCTTTCATCACCGTCAGTGCACCCTTAACAATTTTGATGGTTTCACTATCCTCATTAGCCTTAGGAATAAAACCATTTCTGTGTAGAGTGCCCAAGGAAATCAAATTCTTCTTCAGATCTGGAATATGTCTGACATCACATAACGTTCTAACTGTGTCATCATACATCTGAATTCTGACTTCTCTAATACCAACTATATTACAGCATCTATCATCACCCAAATAGACTGAGCCAGAATTAGTTGACTTGTATAAAGTAAACCACTCCCTGTTATGTGTTATGTGATAAGAGCACCCTGAATCAAGAATTCATGCATCCGTGAACTGAGTTGATGAAACTAAGAGCATATCGTCATCACTGCAATCTAAATTTTCACTCTGCACCACATTTACAGACTTCGATGAAGTATCACCTTTCTCCCCAGTCTGCTTCTTCAGCTTTGGATAATCTCGTTTTATATGACCTGGCTTTTTGC